GAGTGAGACCCCATCACAAGAAAAAAAAAAAATTGTACTCCACATACACAATTATTATTTTTTATTATTTAAAAAAAATAAAAAATCACAGGACATGTAAATGATCCAAATACCCCGAATAAAAAACAGCTATTTTCAAACTAGATAAAAAAGCAGTATGCAAGGTATATGCTATCTACAAGAAATACATTTTAAATATAAAGACAAATATAGGGTAAAAGTAAAAGGATAAAACAAGAAATACTATGCTAACACTAGACAAAAGAAAGTACAGATGGCTATATCAGTACCAAAGCAGACTTCAAAGTAGAGGATATTACCAGGGGTAAAGAAAGTCATTTGGTAATGTTAAAGGAGTCCATTAATCAGGAGGACATAATTCTAAATGTTTATACATCTAATAATAGAGTTTCAAAATACATGAAGAAAAAGCTGATAGAACTGTAAGGAGAAACATACATCTACAATTATAGTCAGAGATTTCAAAACTCCTTTGTCAATAATTGAAAGAATGGGTAAAATTAGAAAATTAGTAAGGATGTGGTAGAGTTGTACAGTGTCAACTGTGACACTGTATAATCTAATTATTAATTAGTGTTAATTAATCAAGCTAATTAACAATCAGTGACCTGATTGTCATTTATAGAACACTATACCCAATAATAAGACCATACCCATTCCTCTCAAGTGTATATGGAATATTTACCAAAACAGACCATATCCTTGGCCATACACAAGTCTGAATAAATTCAGAAGGACTCTAACCAAACAAAGCATATTCTCTCACCATAAAGAATTAAATTAGAATAAATATCTCAAATTATTGAAACAATTTAATCACAAGGTAATAGACAAAAATATGGAAGGAAACATATAAAGTTATATTAACATTAATAACTTTACGGAGATAAAAATGATGAAAGGTTGGAGACAGAGCCTTAAGGATGTTAAACACATTTTTGCACTGTTTCACTAGTTATAACAAACATGTATTCCTTTTGAAATTTAAAAATAGTATAGGTTTTTTTTGTTTTTTTTTTTTGAGATGGAATCTTTTTTTGTTGTTGTTGTTGTTTCAGGTTTTTTTGAGACAGTCTTGCTCTGTTGCCCAGGCTTGGAGTGCAGTGGCGCAATCTCGGCTCACTGCAGCCTCTGCCTCCTAGGTTCAAGCAATTCTCCTGCTTCAGCTTACTGAGTAGTTGGGACAGGCATGTGCCACCACGCCTGGCTAATTTTTGTATTTTCAGTGGAAACGGGATTTCACCATGTTGGTTAGGCTAGTCTTGAACTCCTGACCACCTGTGATCCACCCACCTCAGCCTCCCTAAGTGCTGCGATTACAGGCGTGAGCTACTGCACCCGACCCACAAATACTTAAAATAAATTCCACCTTTCCATTTCAGGTGACCGGAGCCAACTTCTCTATCAAATAATCATATTAACCCTGAATAAAACAATCAAATGCTGTTATTTATTTAATAATTCCTCTATTGCTGGACATTTAGGTTGTTTTCCATTTTCTACCTTATATAATGAAGGCTACAACGAACAGATAGGTCCTCCTTAAATGGCAGTCCTCAGCTTTCCTAAAAATCCATCTCCTCACTGCTTGCATGTGGAAAACAAGCTCCAATTTACATTTTTTAACTCACTAATCTATGCCTTCCATAATCTAATTCCTTGAGAGCAGAGGTCTGCTTTTGTGTGCTCGCTTGGCAGCATACATACTAAAATTGGAACGGTACAGTGAACATTAGCATGGCCCCTGTGCAGGGATACATGTAAATTTGTGAAGTGCTCCATTTTTTTTTTTTTTTTTTTGAGACAGAGTTTCACTCCTGTTGCCCAGGCTGGAATGCAATGGCGCGATCTTGCCTCACAGCAACCTCCACCTTCTGGGTTCAAGTGATTCTCCTGCCTTAGCCTCTCGAACAGCTGGGATTACAGATATGCGCCTCTATACCCGGCTAATTTTGTATTTTTAGTAGCAACAAGATTTCTTCATTTGGTCACACTGGTCTCGAACTCCCGACCTCAGGTGATCCACCACCTCAGCCTCCCAAAGTGCTGGGATTACAGGCGTGAGCCACTGCACCTGACCAGTATTTTTTTAAAAAATAAAAAATAAAATAAAATGGCTTTTGCCACATAGGCACTTTGCCTGTTGCAGCAATTTAAGCTGACAAAACATTTGATCTTTTACCTTTGTCTCAAAATCCTAGAGGGCTTACTTTAATCTATATGCAACATATTAAGACATGTGATTTGTAAGTAGGTTTTTTTTTTTTTTTTTTCTTTTTTGAGACAGTCTTGCTCTGTTGCCCAGACTGGAGTGCAATGGTACAATCTCGGCACACAGCAACCTCCGCCTCCAGGTTCAAGTGATTCGCGTGCCTCAGCCTCCTGAGTAGCTGGGATTATAGGTGTGCACCAGCATATCCGGCTAACTTTTGTATTTTTAATAGACATGGGGTTTCACTATGTTGGGCAGGCTGGTCTCAAACTCCTGACCTCAGGGGATCCACCTGCCTCACCCTCCCAAAGTGCTGGGATTACAGGCATGAGCTGCCGTGCCTGGCCTTCGTAAGCAGTCTTTAAGTAGTAATCATTAACTATCAAACACAGAATCTAAGAACACTTGTAGGTTAATGACTTTTATTTTTAAGAGACCGGGTCTCACTCTACCACCCAAGCTGGTGTGCAGTGGGATGAGCATAGCTCACTGCAGCCCTCAAACTCCTAGGCTCAAGCGATCCTCCTGCTTGAGCTTCCCCACTAGCTGGGACTATAGGTGCATATTACCATGTTCAGCTAATTTTCTTATTTTATTTTTTGTTGAGATCGGGTTGTGCTTCGTTGCCCAGGCTGGTCTCAAACTCCTAGGCTCAAGCAATTCTCTTACCTCATCCTTCCAAAGTGTTGGGATTAGAGGCATGAGTCACTGTGTCCAGCCTGATAACATTTTTTAATGAGATCTGTTTTTCTAATTATAAAAGTGAAACACGAGGCCAAGTGTGGTGGCTCATGCCTGTAATCCCAGCACTTTGGGAGGTCGAGGCAGGAAGACTGCTTCAGTCCAGGAATTTGAGGCCAGCCTGGGCAACATGGCAAGACTGCAAATCTACAAAAATAAATAAATAAATAAGCTGGGCATCTGGAGGCTAAGGTGAGAAAACTGCTTGAGCCTGGTAGGTCGAGGCTGCAGTGAGCCATGATTGTACCACTGCACTCCACATGGACAACAGAGTGACAGACTCTATCTCAAAAATAAACAAAAAAAAAGTAAAACATGCTCAGTGTAAAACTTTGTACAATACCAAAAAATATAAAGAAGCATACACGTATACTATTTTTCTTTTTACTGTGTGGCAAACGTCTTTTTTTTTTTTTTTTTTTGGGAGACGGGAGTCACTCGCGTCGTGCTGTCGGCGCCAGGCGGGGAGTGCAGTGGCCGGAGTCTCAGCTTCACTGCAAGCTCGCAGACCGTCGCGCGGGTTTACGCCATTCTCTGCCTCGAGCCTCCTGAGTAGCTGGGGGCGACTTACGCAGGCGCGCACGCCACCGGTGGCGCACGGCTAGGTTTTTTTTGCATTTTCTAGTGAGACGGGGGGGTTTCACTGTGTTTACGTCAGGAGTCGTGTCTCGGACTCTCGCGTGACCTCGTGATGGGGCCGGGACCGTTCGGCCTCCAAGTGCTGGGATTACAGGGCTTGAGCACCGCCGGGCGTGGGCCGGCCGGGCAAAAGAGATCTTGTGTGTGTGTGTGTGTATCCATATGTGTGTGGTGTGTGTGGTGGTGTATATTATATATATAGTTATATATAAAGGTTAAGAAGAGAGTTGTTGGTTTTGCTTTTTTTTTTTTTTTTTTTGAGATGGAATTTTGCTCTTATTGCCCAGACTGGAGTGTAATGGTGTGGTTTTTTTTTACTGCAACCTCCACCTCCCAGATTCAAGCAGTTCTCCTGCCTCAGCCTCCCAAGTAGCTGGGATTACAGGCACCTGCCCCCACGCCCGGCTAATTTTTGTGTTTTTAGTAGAGACGGGGTTTCACCATGTTGGCCAGCCTGTTCACGAACTCCTGACCTCAGGTGATCTGCCCACCTAGGCCTCTCAAATTTGTGGGGTTTTTTGAGACGGAGTCTTGCTCTGTTGCCCAGGCTGGAGTGCAGTGGTGTGATCTCGGCTCACTGCAAGCTCTGCCTCCTGGGTTCAAGCAATTCTCCTGCCTCAGCCTCCAGAGTAGCTGGGACTACAGGCGCGTGCCACCACGTCCCACTAATTTTTTGTATTTTTAGTAGAGACGGGGTTTCACTGTGTTTTTTTTTATGGTCTTGATCTCCTGACCTCATGATATATTTTTAGTCTTTTTAAATTTAGTAATATTTATTTTCCAATGTCATTGTTTACAAGTATCATAGCAGCAACTTACTTTCTTTCTCTCTCTCTCTTTCTTTTTTTGTTCATTCACCTAGAAATTGTCAAAAATTGCCACTGCTGACCAGGCAGCTCATGCCTACATTCCCAGCACTATGGGAGGCCAAGGTAGGAGGAGGACTGGTTGAGCTCAGGAGTTTGAGACCAGCCTGGGCAACATGACAAAACCCCACCTTTACAAAAAGTACAAAAATTAGCTGGGCATTGTGGCACACGCCCATGGTCCCACCTACTAGGGAGACTGAGTTGGGGGAACTGCTTGAGCTCAGCAGGTCAAGGCTGCAGTGAGCTGTGATCACACCACGGCACTCCAGCCTGGGCAACAAAGTGAGACCCTGTTTTTTTTTAAAAAAAAAAAAAAAAAGAAAGAAAGAAATTGCCATTGAAGACCATATTTTTTTTTTTCATGGCGAGGTATTGGGAATAGTTCTCAGCAATGACTGTGCCTTGGATTTTTTTTTTTGGCTATGATACTGCCACTGCAGAGCTGCAACTTTCAATGTGTTACTTTTTTTTTTAAATAAATACAGCTTGGAACTTAGCAGGAAGTGCGTATATCTTACCAATTTTTTTTTAACTTTCTGCTGAATGGATGACTCAGTTGGGAAAGACTGTAAAAAGAATTTTTTTTTTATAATTACCTAAAGAACCAAATATAAAATAAATGCTAAAGTAAATAATTTTTTTTTTATCAAAACTGTAAGCTAAATTCCCATCCTAACCTCTAGAACCCTCATGAAGAGCTCTAACCCTTGGTTTTCAATAAAGTGTCTACAAGTGGTCGGGGATTCATCTGTGAGGTTCCAAAGTGCGCTCAAAGTAAATTTCAACGTAGTGTCCACTGAATTTTGTTTTTTTTTCTGCTTCACTATTTGAAGAAGTTGCTGAAAAAAAAAACAACACAGAATTTTTTTTTTATTTCTGGACTATTACAATTTGTGGTTATTAATAACCACAAGTCCATGTTTTTTTTTTTCATGGCTTAAAGCATTTCCTATAAAGGTACTTACAACAAACAGCCCTTTTTTTTTAACTTTTCTTCAAGAAAAAAGTATAAGATTTTCATAAATACTTCTACATTATTCTGGTCATACCTACAATGTAATCACCCATAAATAACACTTACAGGCAAAATGATTAAAACTTGGATCAACTATCTTACTCATTCAGTCACAGCATATACTTATTTTAGATTTTTTTTTTAAAAAGGCAAAGGAAGAGAAGGGCAAATGAAGCTAACACTTACGAAGTTTTTTTTTATTATATTCTATATTGTAGTACTGTTATTCCCATTTTCTAGGAAAGTTGAGTCTGAGAAATATTAACTAATTTGTTCATAGTCAATTTAGTCAGAGAAAGTAAGAATAGGAAGACCTAAACTATTCAACTCTAAGTTTTCCTTAAGAAGCAAAAGAAAGGAATTTTTTTTTACAATGAAAAGAGAATTAAAGTCTATATTGACTATAAATAAGATAACAGCCCCTCCCTCCTCAGCCTTCCCTGACAGCAGATGCTGCAGTGCCTGTCTTGCTTTTTTTTTTTTTTCCCTTCCCCTTCCCTTTTTATTTCCTTTTCCCCTTCCTCCCTTTCAAAAAACAAGATAATAGCTTTGAAATTCCAAGTGTAAATTAGTTCTATCACAGCTTTACTTTTTTTTTTTTATGTTTGAAAAGTAAATGGTTTTAAAACTACATAAGGCATCCATATTTTTTTTTTTAGATTATACTTTTGGAGGTAAAAAAGGAAGCTCTGCTAAAACAGATTTTTTTTTTCATTAATGAACATAATACTAGCGGCTATACACAATTCAGAAAAAAAATTTTTTTTTTCACAAACACGTAGGTACAGTTAGGTAAGTTAATAGCATAGTAGCTAAGAGTGTGGCACTAGAAGAAATCTACCTGAGCTTAAATCTCTGCATCTGACTAACTGCACAACTTCATTTACCAGTTTAATTCTTTGTTTCCTCATCTGTAGATTGCAGGTGGTAATTTTTTTTTGGGGAGAAAAATCTGGTTATAATAATCATCACTATTATTACTGATTCCTTTTTTTTTTGTTTGTTTTGGGACAGAGTCTTGCTCTTTTGCCCAGGCTGGAGCGAAGTGGCGCAATCTCAGCTCACTGCAACCTCCGCCCCCTGGGTTCAAGTGATTCTCCTGTTTTTTTTTCCCAAGTAGCTGGGATTATAGGCACATGCCACCACACTGGCTACTTTTTTTTTTTTTAGTAGAGATGGGGCTTCACCATGTTGGCCACACTGGTCTCGAACTCCTGATCTCAGGTAATCCACCCACCTCAGCCTCCCAAAGTGCTAGGATTACAGGTATGAGCCACCGTGCCCGGCCTACTAATTCCTTCTTTAAGCTTGATTTCCTCCCAAAGCATGGATAAATTTCCTTTAAAATCTTTGAAGATACCAAAATTACTGAGAAACATATATAGCAATAAGAGGCCATTTTTTAAAACTGTCACCCCTGAAAATAGTAAAATAAACAAAATAATTTTTTTTTTCTACTTATCTAATGTATATTATATTTAGTACTAGGTACTTAGCATATTTTTTTTTTATTAACCATTTTTCTTTTTTTTTTCTCTTTCTTTTTTGACATGGGATCCCACTCTATCACTCAGGCTGGAGTACAGTGACACAATTATAGTTCACTGCAGACTCGTTTTTTTTTGCTCAAGCAATCCTCTTGCTTCAACCTCCTGAGTAGCTGAGACTACAGTTTTTTTTTACCATGCCCGGCTAATTTTTTTTTTTTTTGGTTAGAGCCAGAATCTTGTTTTTTTTTCCATGCTGGTCTCAAATTCCTGGCTTTAGGTGATCCTCCCACCTCAGCCTCCCAAAGTGCTGGGATTACAAGCATGAGCTTTTCTTCTCATTTAATTTTTGTAATAAGTGTATTAAGTATTTTTTATCACCCCAAAGAAAACTGATTTGCCCAAAATACATGGCTAGTAAGAGACAGAATTGAGAATAAATCCAGATATGTCAGCTCCAGAATTCCCACTTTTTTTTTTATTCCCAAATAGCCTTCTCTTTCTTTATAACATTATTTTGCTTTTTTTTTTTTTTTTTTGAGAGGGAGTCTCACTCTTGCCCAGGCTGGAGTGCAGTGGCGTCATTTTTTTTTACTCCAACCCTGACCACTTGGGCTCAAGCAATTCTTCCACCTTAGCCTTTTTTTTTTCTGGGACCATAGACATGTGCTACCTCCATTCTTTTTTTTTTTTGAGACTTTTTTTTTCTGTGTTGCCCAGGCTGGAGTGCAGTGGCACTATCTCGGCTCACTGCATTTTTTTTTTCCCAGGTTCACGCCACTCTCCTGCCTCAGCCTCCCGAGTAGCTGGGATTTTTTTTTCCCGCCGCCACACCCGGCTAATTTTTTGTATTTTTAGTAGAGATGGGGTTTTTTTTTGTTAGCCAGGATGGTCTCAATCTCCTGACCTCGTGATCCACCTGCCTCTTTTTTTTTAGGTGCTGGGATTACAGGTGTGAGCCACCGCGCCTGGCCTATTTTTTTTTTTTTTTTCTCTACTATTATACTTTTTAGATTTTGTTACAACCATATCTACATAGCTGTTTTTTTTCTATTGTACTGTTTGTTATGGGTAGAATTTATAGATATAATTCAGTGTTTTTTTTTATTACATAATTATAATTCAGTGTGAATTCCCTAACATCTTGTAAGGCAGCAAGTATCATTCATTTGATATCATGGGTACTCTATACATATTTATCAAATGAATGGTTTTTTTTTTCATTATATACATAATTTACAAGTCATGGAAAAAGGGAGTCTCTTATTTTTTTTTTTTATGTAGTATTACTATTCAAACACCTCATGCCAGGATTTTAACAGGCATGTTTAAATATACTTTTTGCCTCTAAGTGTTCCCTAAGACATTTTTTATATCTACTCTTTTTTTTTCTTTTTAAAGTCTTATTTCCTCAACTGATTATAAGCAAGCAAAATCGTATATCAGATATTTAAATTATCTGCTTCCGCAAAGCATAAAGCACAACCTTATGTGTGTTTTTTTTTCTCTACATTTTCTATATAAATAACAAAAATCACAGAGTTTTACAATTAGATAGGTGTTTTGTTTTTTTCTGGAGACAGGATCTTGCTCTGTGACCCAGGCTGGAGTGCAGTGGCGTCATTATGGCCAACTCCAACCCTGACCACTTGGGCTCAAGCAATTCTTCCACCTTAGCCTCCTGAGTAGCTGGGACCATAGACATGTGCTACCATGCCTGGCTAATTTTTAAATTATTTGTATAGACGGGGTCTCATTATATTGCCCAGGCTGGTCTTGAACTCCTGGGCTCAAGCAATCCTCCTGCCTCGGCCTCCCAAAATGCTGGGATTACAGGCATAACCACTGTGCCTGGTCTTAGATAGGATCTTAATACTTATGTGGACCCCAATAGTTTTTTTTTTTTTCCCAAATTCGCAAAGTGAGTTTACAAGCTAGATCCTAGGTCATCTGACTCCTAGTTCAGGGTTTTTTCCATTTCTGTTAAGGAGTAAAGCTGCATATATGAATTTTTTTTTATACACTTCTTTAGAAGTATCCAAAAAAAAATTTTTTTTGTTTTGTTTTGAGAAAGGGTCTCAATCTGTCACCCAGGCTAGAGTGCAGTGACACGATCACGGCTCACTGCAGCCTTGACCTCTTGGACTCAAGGGATCCTCCCACCTCAGCCTCTGGAGTAGCTGGAACCACAGGCATGCGCCACAATGTCCAACTTTTTTTTTTTTTTTGGTAGAGAAGGGGTCCCATTCTATTGCCCAGACTGTTCTTAAACTCCTGGCCTCAAGTGACCCCCTTTTTTTTTTGCCTCCCAAACTGCTGGGATTACAGGTGTGAGTCACCACATGCCTGGTCACAGAAAGTTTTTATTAAAATATAAAATGTCAGCTGGGCGCGATGGCTTACGTCTGTTTTTTTTTCACTTTGGGAGGCTGAGGCGGGAGCTGTAATTTAAATATTTTCCTGGGCTTCCGTCATAGCACCTATGCGGCACAACACGGAAACATCTCCATTCATTCATCTCCATCTCCACAAACCATTAGCTTAACCGACTCTCTCCGCGCCTGTTGCTGCCAGAATTTATCCGGTTTCTTAGTCGCTAGGGGATCACGCGAATCGAGTGAACAAAACCACGACAAAAACCGCTCTGAACTCTTTCATGATGCTTACACTGCGGTGAGAAAGACAGGCAAATAAATTGAGATAAATAAGTTAAAATACAAGCTATGCGTTACGCGTACTCCGACACCATAACCCTGTTTATCGGGGAAAAAATAAATAATAAAGCAGGAAAAAGAAGGAGTATGAACCATGTTGAAATTTTATGTAGGGTGCGCTCACGAAGGCCTCATTGAAGACCTGTTTTTTGCGGAAAGTAAGAGAAAGAATACACCATATGGGTAATTTAGGGGCACAAGCAATCTGCAGGCAGACGGGGACGGGGAAATACCAACAGCCCTGAATCCGGGTACGCGGCACAGAAATGTCAACAAATAGCATGAGGCCTCAGTGAGGGGCCGAGAGAGGCAGAGAAACAACAGGGAAAAGTGTCTGAAGAGAAAAAAGTCAGACACGGTAAATAGGGAGCGGCCACCCAGATCACATGAGAGTCTAGTGTATTAGTCTCTCTTGCATTGCTATAAATAACCTACCCCTGAGACCTGGGGTAAACTTTATAAACGAAAAAGAGTTTAACTTGGTCAATGGTTCCCCCAGGCTGTAAGGAAGCACAGCTGGGAAGGGCCTCCAGGAAAACTTGCCAATCGCATGCGCGTGGCGAAGGGCAGCGAAGGCAGCCTGGCAACATCCCTAAATCATGGTGAAAGAGATGTGAAGGGCAAAAGCCAGGATTGCTACCACACTTTAAACACCAGATCTCATGGAGAACTCTATCACCAGACAGCGTAGGAAGATGATGCTACACCATTAGAAACCACCCCCCATGATCCAAATCCACCTCACCACCAGGCCCCACCTCCAGCACTGGGGATTACAATTAACATGAGAATGTTGGGTGGGTCCACAGAAGCCAAACCACATGTCTAAGGGAAGTGGCTTCTACCTCGAATGAGGAGAGGGAAAGTCATAGAAGGTTCTGAGCAGGTAATGATGACTATGGAGCAGGACTACTCTATCAACCTTGTCTTTTAGAATACAACTCCCAGGAGGCGCAATTGACAGAAGGCAGGGAGAGTAGTCGCTGAGCAGTAAATTTCCAGGGACGAGAAATCAGGTTTTAGTTCCGTACTGCCAATGGAGAAACAGAAAGGAAGAGGAAATGGGTTGAATTCTAGGATACATTTGAAGACAGAGCTGGGATTTGCCTAAATAACTCAATGTGGGATACAAGGGAGAAAAATCAAGATGAGGTCAAGGAATACATCTGATTATCTTACCATAGTTTCCTCATCCTTAAGACCTCGAGAATCCAAATATCACTGGCCTTTTAGGTTTTCTGTTGACGATGTTTATCACCTGCCTTCTTAGCTCCTTAGTACTTTTAGGTACAGCTGTCAGAAGATGCCACAGTCATTGCAGACTCACTTAGGAATTCCCTAACATGTGGCCCTGTGCACTCCTTGAGGCGTGGGGACTATATTATTCTATTAGCCCTGTTGAATGCCACCAAATCAATACAGCTGATCGAAACATAGTGTTTAATATATGTTGACTGAATGCATTTATTTTCAGGTAGATACTACTCTACACTTCCTTAAATACTATTACCTTTCCTTTCGGTTTCCAAGGCCCATTTCTGATTAGGTCCATTACTTGTATTCTCTACAATATATTCCTAATTGGCTTCCCTGTCTCCACTGGTTTCCAACAATGTGTGCCTGCACATTAGAAATAAATAAACCTCTGGCCAGGCGTGATGGCTCACACCTATAATCCCAGCACTTTGGGAGGCTGAGGCGGGTGGATCACAAGGTCAGAGACAGAGACCATCCTGGCAAAACATGGTGAAACCCCGTCTCTAATGAAAACACCAAAAATCAGCTGGGGGTGGGGTACCTGCCTGTAGTCTCAGCTACTCGGGAGGCTGAGGCAGGAGAACACTTGAACCCAGGAGGCGGAGGTTGCAGTGAGCTGAAGATCACGCCACTGCACTCCAGCCTGGATGACAGAGCAAGACTCCCATCAAAAAAAAAAAAAGGAGAAGGAGGGAGGGAGGGAGGGAGGAAGAGGAGGGAGAGGGGGGC